ACACCGTGCTGATCAGGTTCTGTTCGCTGACTTTTCGCACTATGCCTTGGTCCTTCAACACCTCCAACAGTCTACGCGGCTCTTGGTAACTAGGCGACGGCCGCCGACCCGATAAAATTTTCGATTATGTTATTACCATGAAGGGCAGGTGGCTAGGTTTAAAGGGGTCTATGCCACGATCTCCAACCTCCTTCCTTTTTCAACCATGCTTGGGGTCAACAGTGACGGAGTTTCAGGCTAAATTTTTATTCGTTAATTCAGTTGTGATGTATCCTGCAAAGTAACATTACCGGTACGAATATTTATGACAGTGCTATCAAGGTTTGGCCTAGTGGCTTCCAGCAGTTGACTTATTCTGAGAGCGTAAGCTACTGCTTGAAGGCGCTTTCAAACTTTGCAACGAACCATCATGAACTTCGTAGACCTGCTAAACTGCTAGTATGCACATACGTTACTTGTTGTAAAGTTGGTGGTTCTATTGTCCTAACCATTGAATACTACTCTTAAATGGTGATCACCACACATGCGGTTGATCAATGTCAACTGATTAGGCAGCAACGAAACTTTAGTGATCATGTATAGTTATCGCCATTGTTTTCTAGGGTCTGCTCTGCATGTAAATATTACTGTAATCACTTCGCCCGGCTAGTAGTGGGCGATAAATCGCACCCGCAGCAACAAACTCTTCATTCAGAGCGATTTCGAGCCTTCTCCCTCCTAGCGTGGCCTTCCCGATTCCTGACAATCTTCCCGCCGTCTTAGTTGGCTACTAAGCAGCCTCGTCCTCTCGTCAGGGTACTAGTGGACGATCATCACTAAAAATATCCTACTGGTGAGCAGAGCTACGTCCCCTTTTGATTTCGACGGCGGCGTCATTCACTCCATCAGCTTTCTGATCACTGCGTTTGAGATTTTGTGGCGACTTGAGATTCCCAACATTCTTCATTTCACTGCTCTCTCAATGAAGGTAGTTGGCGCTTCTCGGTTTCAGTGAGTGGCTGCATTTCACAGCCATATAACATTGCTGACAGGTCAGTAGTATTGAAGAGATAGATGCGGGATTTTTTTTTCTACCGAGGAGAACGTCCTTGATGGAGTGGAGCCCACGCCAACCGGTCCCCTTTCGCCATTGAATCACTCCTGCCTTATCATTCCGCCTGCTGGTCCCTTTGCGCTATGTGAATGTATGTATCGATTGATTCGATCTTCTCGTCGTTTAATATTACCTGCTCCTACTACACAGCACTTGAGAGAAGTAAGCGTCAAGCAGT